AAAGTTTCCTGAGGGAAGTATTAGACTAGTAAGAAGCATTCTGTTGGGGATCACCACATTCGATTGTCGCTTTCCTCGCATGGGACAATAAGAGAAACTGTCGTCACTAACAATCTCCCATGGGCGAAGTGGAGCAGCAGCGAAAGAGACCTTGTCACTGGAGGAAAAAAAAGGTAAGTAAAATGTATATTCTGATGTTTGGGGTGGGCACCTTGCATTTACAGGTTTAAAGGTCAGTCCAAACATTAAACTCAAATATAGTTTTTGTTTTTTTAACATTGGAGTGTTCCTTTAAAGACTACTTGCAAAATTTTAACTATTGTATTTGCATACCTACCAAACCGGGTCTACAATTAGATCTATGATCTTACAGTATAATTACAATCTAACCCCCCTGTAATTGGTAATAACCATGATAAATAAAACCGCATTGTAGTCTGGTAAAAAAGAAAAATGTAACTCTGCCTATAATTAAGAAAACATATCTCTAGAAATCTCCAAGACTCTACTAGTGACTCTTCACCTTATGGAGATACTTGATTGGCCATTTTAGCCCTTGCCATGCTTACCCACAATGCCGTGCTCCTTTTCCCTTCTTTTTTTTTTTCCTATCACCTCTGCCTTTTTTGTTGACACTTATGATTGCTATGTGCAGCTGAAGCTTGGGAGTTAGATGTTTTTCTTTTTTTTGGAGCGGGATAAGGGCCGTAAATTGCTTGGGATCCACACAGTATTCTGTATATTGACTTAGAGTTACTATGGACTATATCTCTGTTTTAACTTTCATATATTTAATACTATTTGCATTATCTACCTTATTTGTGAGTTATGTGGACACCACTTATTTTTTCCTGAGAATGTGTATTTTCTAAAATGTCTTAATTTCCAATAATAAAATCAAGAGAATGGAGAGGGGGGGAGGGGAGGGGAAATCTGTCTTCATTATTTATAAATGGCTACAGTGTTTAGGAAATCTTGTCTAGGAGTATATTTTAGTTATTATAAAATTTAAAAAAAACAACGCGAAGAACAACAACAAAGCAGGTAATTAGCAATATCTCACTTGTGGTACTGCTTAATGTTTTTTAAGAAAGTTCCCTAAAAATCCACGCCGAGTGTGTAACATGATAGATGTTTTACTAAACACCATTTATCAATGAACTTTGATTATGTCAATTCATTAAAAAGACTTTTGGAAATTCCCTTTGCTACGTCTCTCATTGAGAATGATTCTGTATAAATAGATTGGGTGAGTGCCCATTCCCTTGAAATAACATTTGTCAAACTGTTTATCAGAAGATTGCACCTTCTCCAGGTTGACAACCAGTCGTAGCCATTTGTATAAACCAACTTTCCACATTTTCTTCAATGAGGAATTACACAAGAACTGTATCAGTAGGTGAGCTGGGCAGAAAACATATCTGTACATTTGGTAGCCAAGTAAGAACTAGAAAGTGTGACTGTCTTGTGACAAAGTCCCTGTTACCTGAAAAGGGAACAAGTCAATTTAATTCTACAATGTTGCAATGATGCAAAAACATTCTACTTCCTCCGAACACCTCTAGCAGCATAGGGGTTAAGCCCCTTTTGTGGAGCAAAACACTGCACATACAAACTCCAGGTACCATAACCACTTTAAATCACTAAGGTGATCATAGTGCTTTGAATATCCGATTAACTTGATTGAGAGTGATAGCCACAGGAAAAAAAAAAATCTAACCATAATTATCACAAAGCATGGTATGATCAGAGAGGTTTTCTAACTTCAGAGGCAAAAAAAAATAATCTACACTTGTGGTGTTTATTTACTTAATGCCACGTTGTAGTGAATTTCAAAAACTAAATTGCAGAATTTAGGCTAAAATAGGGAATTTTGATACTTTCTGCAAGCAGCTAAGGATTTTGTTTGCATGAGTTTCATAACGTTTCCAATCCACTACAATTTTATTTAGTAGATAAACCCCATTGTTTAAGCCTGACTGTAAGCAACGTTTGAGCTTACACCTGATCATAAATCACAGTTTAATCCCAGGATGCTATGGATATAAATGTACACGTAGCATTCCGAGACAGACCCACAATGCACCCTGACATATACAAGCAGTTTATTGAACAGACCAGCGCACGTTTCACATGTGTACATGCATAAATCATTAATATATATTTTCAAGTGAAAATAAGCGGACATGTATTAATAATGGCAGAAAAATTAGGTGCTTGTTACTCTTAAATAGTAAACTATCTAATGAGCTAATAACCACTTGACCGGTTATTCTCACCAATATTATTTCAGGTAATAACTCCAGATCTGGGTTAACAGATACTGACTAGGGCAATCTTTAATGCTAGGCTTTGGATCATTAACTCAATGACAGATAAAATTAGTAAATGACTCTTGTGTACAGCTACAAGGTAAAAGCAAGTATCCAGTACATCAGAATCACAAGTGATGTCTAACCATAAAAGGACCTAAATACTGAGCGAGAGGATGCCTGAAGGATCAGATTAGTTAAACTGACATTTAACTTTTCTCTAACAGAAGGAAAAGTTAAACGTGCCTTTAATTCCCGAGTGCAGTATAACAGACATATCATTTTAAATGGACTTTTAGCCAATAGCCAGTCAGGGTGGGGCTTTGAGCTGCCAATATTTGCACGTACCCCAGGCAATCAAAAGTTGACGTCAGCAAGGGGACATTCTTTCAGTACTCTGCATCAAGAGGCCCTGGGTTTTAAATTGAGCCACAAACAAAATCTATAAATAGCGAGATGAACAATCACCAAGGATATGTCACAGATGCATGTTTGCAACATATTGATGTCGAAGGGATTTATTCACCAAAATAAGAAGAACTGACAAAGAGATCTAAAAATCTCAAATCCAGCTGTTTTTTTCTGCTTATTTATTGTGGCCTAAAATTTGCAAGCCCCTTGTCGATTCTCTGCCATACATAGTTTAGTGAATATGCACAAATGTAATCCTAAGAAGAAGGGAATTATAATGAATCTACAGTGGCAACAGTTATGTTTGCTTTCACAAAAAATGGTGCAATCTTTAAATAGAATTAAGACACAAGGGCTCACTTTCACTGTTACGTCGCAGTACAAGTGGTGAAGGCAGCAGGGCCCTTTAATAAGCTCACTTAGCAGTAGGAAGAAATGAAGTGATGACATTAGGCTTTGACCTGAGGGGTTAAACATGCAATTTTCCATCTGGTAAGACCTGGCTGTCTTGCACACATGCTACCACCTGCTGTTCCTTTCCTTACAGTGCTTAGAAGCATTCAATTGACAATGAAATCAGTGCTGTAGATGCTGTTCCGGTTTAGTGGTTTCTCTAGAAAATCCTCTTATCTGTGTAGAGGAAAATAACATCTATGCAGTAAGTAGGCAGGCTCGGTACATAATGTGAATTTAAATACTACAGGGGAAGGCAGGAATGTGACCCTTCGAGTGCTGCAGTAGAGATGGGTTTTATGCACACTAAGGGATTTAAATTATAGACAACAGATTGCTACAATACGACAACAACAAGCAGAGTTCCAGGGCTGGACAAATCCCACGAGAGCGTGCCGCTTACACAGTTTAACTCTGGGGCCTGGATATTCTAGTCACTACTTTATATAAATCTCAATAGCATTTACGGTTTCGAGACTCCTAAAATAAAATGAAAAAACATTTTTTTTAAAATTTTATTCTCACATGTACAAAACAATCAGAAAATAAATTCCACAGCTTTGTACACATAAGAGATTCAAAAATAGTACATATTTGATAATTTTTTTTTTGTTTGTTTGTTTTTTAAGGAATAGAAAGGTAAATTACAGGAAAAAAAATTATGATAAAATAAGTGTGTCTAAGGAAAGCATAAACCAGGTAAGAGGTAAGTCCATTGAAAAGGCTGAAAACAAGCTCTCTCCACCACAATCAAAGTATGCAGCCACTTTTCTTGATCCTTGAAGGCTCATGGACTATCCCATTACTTTGAGCTTACCTGGCTATTTTCTCTTGAAACTACAATAAATCTACAGCAGTATGTTTTAATGGAAATCCGCCCGAAGACTCTTGAGTACTGCAGTAAAAGGCAAGGATTTCTCAAAGTCAGTCACAGCAGGCAGCCACGGGCACTCTTAAAGTGCTAAGTGGCATTAAACCGGGGCAGCGCTATGTATCATGCCCATGTGCAGCCCTAAGTGGGACTGGCCAGTGCAACTGATGGTGTGTCAGGTATGTACTCACACCAGGTTAATAACTTCCATTTTCTCTATGTATTGTTCCAGAATACCAAGTAGTCCATGGCATCTGTTGCTAAATGGGCCTACAGTCACATCATGATCATGGCAGAAGTCACCTATTTCCATAATGTTGGAAGGTTTCTCCAACAGTTTCTTTTGTGGCCCATCATGGTAGGGACATTGTGACAGTTAAACTCTAAATAATTTTGCTATCTACTCCAGTTAATTAGAATATATTAAATGGTCCCTCAGGACACCATAGCAACTTCATTAATATAAGAGGTCCTTGCCGATGTGAGTGGCTCTCCATTCACAAAACGGCTTAAGAAACTTATGTATTTTTCTCAAGCCGTTTTTATGAATGGAGAGACACTGAATGGCTGAGAGCATCAGCTGACTGCTCTAGGCAAATCAGAGGCGCCCCCAGGGCAAAGCTCGGGAGTGGCACTGGTAGATTATTTAAAGGAACAATCCAGGCACAATAACCACTACAGCTCTCTGGCGCCCTATGTGCCAGTGTGTGTGTATCTGTGTGTCAGATACACACTGACACAGAGATACACACACTGGTGCATACAAACACAGATACACACACATACAGATACACACTGTGCATCAAGGTGTGTATGTGTGTGTCAGATTCATACACACTTGCACATACAAACACAGATATACACAGACACATACAAACAGATACACACACCTTGACACACAGATAGATCGATACATACATACATACACACACACACACACACACACACACAGATACACACGGTGTCAAGATGTGTGTATCTATGTGCCACTATGTGCCTGTGTGTGTATCTGTTTGTAAGATATATACACACACACACACAGGCACATACAAGCACAGATATACACACCGGCACACAGGCACATACAAAAAATGATGTTGATATACATGTCAAAGGGTTCCCCCCTCTCTACGTGCATTAGCGACACTGCACCCAGAACACTTCAATGAGCTGAAGTGGTCTGGGTGCCTATAGTGTCCCTTTAATGTATTAGTTCTGGTGTCTATAGCCTGTACCTGCAAACATTTGATTGTAAAAGCTGCCTTGGTGCCTAGGAACACCTCTTGTGGCAGTCACTATGGGAAAGCATTTCATTGTGTTAGGTCCTCAAAATTGATGATCTCAGCCATGGAGGCGGTCAGGTGGTTGGACTGGCGTGGAAGAAAAGGTGAGTATAATCACCTTTTCACTGCTCTGCCAGGGGGAGCAGGTACATAAACAACCACATAGTGTTCCTTTAAGGTTACACTGTACTTACTATAACAACTTCATCTTATTGTAGTTGTTATAATGCCTACAGTAGTTACCCCATTAAATTTGCCTCCAAAATGTGTCGTTTTAACTAATTAGAAGGCTCATAAGTGTGGCTTTACTTCACACTTCCAATCCCTCTGGACAGGACAGCCGGGATCGTTACTTCTCAGCTCTGATCCCAGACATTCCATGACATCATGTACACTGCCATCATGGCTTGCCAAAGAGAACAATCAATAATCCTCTATAAGAAAATTTCAATTGGTGCAACTCATGCAACTATGGTCCACGATGCTCCAGTAAAAGATGCATTGGACTGGACAATAATCCTGGGGACACCGTGATGGAGAAAAGGTAAAAAAAAATGTTTTTATATATTTTTCCCATTTCAGCTTTCACATCGGAGATTCTATAGCGTTAGGAATACAGATTTGCATTCTAAACACTATAGCGACTCTTTAAAGGGACGGTAACCATAGGTTGCAAAGACCCCAATGGTGACTTTGCTGCTTGTAGTGCGGTGGCCGCAGGATGAAAAGACAAGGTGAATTTTACGGACCTGAAGCTTTCCGTTGCAGCCACTGCCATCTTTTTTGGGATCCTCTTCAGCTCCTTGCACTTCATCTATAAGAGCTGATTTGGTTTTATTTATATTTTTTCACAAAGCCCTATTATCTTCAAGTAGTGTTTCTCTAGGTCGCTTCCTAACCACATTATAGCCATTCCTTTTTTGCAATTCAGTATAACCTCATTCCTCTAAACGTTATTTTAATGAAAGTGCATGTTGCTTGAAACTATTTAGGTCCAAACAATTTCTACATAACCTGGTATTTTTTATTTTTTTCATTGGAGTCACACCGCTATATTTTATGAATGGCAATGCACACAGTAGCTTTATGTACATAGGTGTAACCAATAAATACTGTTTAACGGCACTGGTAAAAATCACAGTTAGTTTTTGTGGGTGGGGATGACAGTGACTGCAGTGCAACTGGTGGACGGGTACTTTGGGGCTACATGTGATGAGTTTTCAGCAGAGACACAGATTACTTTACAGTAGAATAGAGGTTTCATAAAGCAGCACACCTATAGTATCTGTATGATTTCTTTAGTACTAACAGATACCTTTAGAATTTTACATGTGACATTAAGGTAGAGGGGAGTTGCAGTAACCATACATTGTATGTTCATTTTATTTAGCACTAACAGGTAAAGCATGAGAGATCAATGAAATGCCATGGGCTTTTTTTTCCAGCACAAAATGGCAATTCTATAGCAATTTCCTCTTTCACTTTGAGAATTGCTGTTTGGTAAAAAAAATTAAATGACAAAATAAAAAAACACTGTATATTTGCCATGTCCAAAAACCTAAACCTTTCCAAGTGTGGCTGACAGAGTCAAAGAGCAATTTTGAACCTGTTTCAAGCTAATCTCTAGAGCTATTGGAATATCCACTAATGTAAAAGTGCCTTTTTTGGCAAAAAATAAAGCTGGGATGTCTGGCCTGGGTAATTTAGCTGGTCTTGGGCATTTCCCATAATTCATTCCCACAGAATTACTGGACACCAGTAATTTAGAGTGCGTTCTGTACTGCAGGGTGCTGGGATGGTAGGAAGGGCTGAACAATTGGCTGTTAATTTTTTTTACCCAGGTATAGTATTGCCTAGAGAAAAATAGTAGTTTGTGACTTGATATAAGTAGAGTGGATACATGTGCTGCAGCGTGTCTTTTTTTTTAATGACCACTATAAAGAAAGATATTCATCAGGACAATGGACAATCCATCAGGACAATGGATAATGCAAAACCCCTACCCAACATGAAACTGGAGAAAAAGAAAATGGTCACTTTATGAAAAGCAAGTTATTGGCATAAATGGACCCGATGCTTTCAGGATAAAGATCACTGCTAAAACATAGATCAAAATGTTTGCTTCCATAACAGCTTATATGTTCCAATGTACCCTTACAGGTTTAGTGTGAGGAATCATTTGCATTCAATAACCCTGCAAAGGTTAATAAAACTATATTATAGATTCGTTTAAAACAATCTGTATTTGTGCTGCCTCAAAATTGCTAAACACACCAGTTTCACATCCCGGTGGCAGTTACAAGCCAAAGCCTGCTGTTATATGGTCCCTAGGAAAGGATTGTAAAGTAAGAGAAAACACAATGTAGCTGATTAGACAAGACATTAACAGACTTTCGAAAGCTTGATACGGGTAAAATAGATTATATACAAGAGAGCCCTTTACCCACTAATGCTTAGCTTTATTTTTACAGGAAAAAACCCCAGTCAGACCGTGAAGTTTTAGGTTTGGTTCTATAGATAGGAAACTGGCAGGCGTACTCGTGAAACTTGCGGACAGTTGCTAAGGTTTAAAATGTACTTCAAAGAACCACGTGCGGAATTCATCCAGAATGGAAATACGGGTATATAACGATCCATAAATAAGTGAGGAAAAAAAAAACTAAACAGGAATTGTTTTAGAAGGAAATTACCAGTTTAGCTGTAAATCCACATTGTGACGAGAGCAACCTCGCCACATTGCACTGGAGGAGCCCCATATTAAAAGACCTCTTTTCCCCTGCAGAAAAGACTTATTCGTGCTTTTCTGCCCAGTGTTCGGTAGATTCAATCTACCGAACAACCGCACGAATGACTAGACCACCTGGGAGCTGGAGTGTGCCGGCAATTAGCCTCCCAGAAGCTGCGGTTAACCGCAGCTTAATTGACGAATACTGAGTGGCCGGCATTCGTATAACGAACGCGAGGTCGCGGCCATTTTAAACACGCGAACGCACAGCGGTGTTCGACGCCTAACTCATGGAACTAAAAACGGACACACCGCTGAAGCCGCCGACCTCCCTTCTTGTTCGGTGGAAGTGCACGAACGGCCCGGTATTCGGTAGTTGTACCCGACTGCACAATACCCCAGATAGGAATCCCATGAAGCTCATTTGTATGAGAACTGACTTTGTAAAGACTTTGGCTCCATGGCGATTGAACTGTATTCGTGTGGTCTGAGCGCCATTCACTTAATAATGTGCGCTCAGACCTGAGCTATCCGGGGATATGTTAAATGTATAGTTTTATTGTAACTGGTGTCACATAGTGTATTTTAATAGTAATTCTTATTTTAGTATCCCCACGTGCATAATGGCAATTTGCCTTTGTCCTGGGAGATAATTGAATTACTTCTCAATTATCTCCAGGGCAGAGGGGAAGAAGCCAGGCTGCATTGTGGGAATATAATGTGACTGTGTGTCCTATTTTGCTGATTGTCTGTCTTTTGTCACAGTCTCCCATTTGGTCCACTACTTATTTTTGTGCAAATGATTTCAATTGCTAGAGCATTCAGAGAATTGGAAATATTTTCTATTTTATCCCTTCATATGTCAGAGAGGTGTATTTTCTAGCCCTCTGGCACACAAAAGGGTTAACTGCTCCTGTCACTATGACAGCCAAGAAAATAAGGCCAATCTGCTGTTCTTCCCCCTAGAGAGTATTCATTCTGCTCAAGAATCAGTCTGTGACCTCAACAATCCAGCCATCACTTCTAAGCACATTCACTGTGTGTTCTCTCACAAGGCCTTGTGCCAGCGAGATGCAGGATCTGCCTGACAGTCCTGGACACAGTGTTAAGATTTCATAGAATAAACTGACTTATCTGCACAATGTGGAAACGATCTAATGAGGGGCTATACATTTTGAAAACTTACAGCTTATATAAGACATTGCTAAAACATTTCAAAATATTAAAAGGAACAGTACAGAATAGAAATGCAATTATTACTATAATCACCACATCAAAATGTTCATTAGTTGGGAATGTTTACTATGCTCTTATTCCTAAATATGTATCCATTTCCTTAAAGCTAGTATAAAGATTAAAAAAAAAAAAAAAACACACAAAAAAAACCCTAAACCAGGCAATATCTTGAAAGTCGGAAAATGAATGTTGGCCTCTACAAGTATCCTGATAGTCTGAAACTTGATTTCCTGTAAGAATAAACCAGCTTAATTTCCCCCTAATGGAACAAAAGTGTAGTTGTAAATGATTTATATCTTTTAAAAAAATGTACGGACATGTACAGTGATACTTTAAAGAAAACGGTACATGTAAATAAGCAAACAGAAACTAAACGAGGCTGGCAATACCTTCATCAGAAAGTTTGTTAATTAGCAAATTATATAGTTTGTCAAGCATATGCATTTATAATAATTATTGATTACTGGTTTATTTTGCAAATGCCTAAAATTAGTAGAAATTAATAAAGCTAATATTCGGAGTATGCAAATGATGACTGAGGGTATTCAGATGTGTAGTCCACCAACAGCCACAAGCTACCTCTGTTTTATAGTTCAAGGTTTATGCACCATTTTGATCCACACTCTAATCTAGATGAACCAGAGAAAAGGCAGTGTTTAAATTACAGCCTAGGGACACCTTCAATGGCAGTCACTCATACAACCACTAGAGGTGCTTCCAGGGTCAGTACTGCACAACGTACAGCACTAATGTTCAGCGTCACCTCTGCATGGAGGCGCTAAACTTTCCCCATTGAGATGCATTGGTTCAATGCATCTCTATGGTGGAGATGCTGATTGCTG